GTTGGATGGAGATGGAGGCAATGAGGGACAGTTGGGGACAACTGGGGACAATTACTGGGGACAGTTGAGGATGGTGGAGGGCAATTAGGGACGGCTGAGGACAACGGAATGCAAAGTGGGGACAATGAGAGACATTTGGGGGACAACTGGGGACAGTCAGGGACTGCAGGGGACAATTGGAGACAGTCGGGAACCGCTGGGGACAGCTGGGGACAACTGGGAATGGTTGGTTGAAGGACAACTGGGAACTCATGGGTTGGGGACAACTGGGGGGCGGCAGGGAACAGCTGGGATGGCTGAGAGCTGGGGGACACGTGGGGACAGTTGGAAAGACCTGTAGGGACAAGTAGGGACTGCTGGGGACAACCAGGGATGGTCGAGAGCCGGGGACAGTTGGGGACAACATGGAAAAGACCTCCAGGGACAGCTGGGGACACTGGGGGACACTCACCGCCTCGCCAGCCAGCTCCTTGGGCGGGTGCCCCAGCTCCTGCAGCTGGAAGAGAGCAGCGCCCCATCAGCACCCGCCGCCAGCCCCGCGTCCCCCCACCGCGTCCCCACCTCCCCACCTGCTGCATCAGCTCCAGCACGGCCTCGAAGCGCGCCCTCCTGTCCCCCTCGCTGTCCTCGGGTCGCTCGGCCTCCAGCTGCTGGCAGATGCGGCTCATGACGCCGTGCTGCGCCCGGTAACGCTCGTACTGCTCCTCCGGCAGCGCCGCCCGGTGCCGCTGCAGCCACTCAGGGTACTGTGACAGTGACAACAAGCAGCTCCCATTTGTCCCCTTCCCCATCCCCAGGACCCTCGCACCCCAGCTCCCACCAGCAGCGCCCCGCATGCACCCCAGTGCTGCCCGGTGCAGGCACTCAGGGTGCTGTGACAATGACAACAAGCAGCTCCCATTTGTCCCCTTCCCCATCCCCAGGGCCTTTGCCCCCCAGCCTCCCACCAGCAGCACCCCACTGTGCGCCCCAGCACTGCCCAGTGCCGCTGCAGCCACTTGAGGTGCTGTGTCAATGACAACAAGGAGGTGTCCCTGCTGCCCCCAGTCCTCCCACCTGTCCCCATCCCCAGGGCCTTCGCCCCCCAGCTCCCCACCAGCAGCGCCCCACCGTGCGCCCCAGTGCTGCCTGGTGCAGGCACTCAGGGTGCTGTGACAATGACAACAAGCAGGTGGCCCTGCTGTCCCCATCCCCAGGGCCTTCGCCCCCCAGCTCCCACCAGCAGCACCCCGCATGCACCCCAGTGCTGCCCAGTGCAGGCACTCAGGGTGCTGTGACAGTGACAACAAGGAGGTGTCCCCGCTGTCCCCATCCCCAGGACCCTCACCCCCCAGTTCCCCACCAGCAGTGCTCCACCGTGCGCCCCAGCACTGCCTGGTGCTGCTGCAGCCACTCGGGGTGCTGTGACAGTGACAAGGAGCTGCCTGTCCCCGCTGTCCCCGCTGTCCCTGCTGTCCCCCCTCACCTTGTCGGTGATCTCCTTGAGCGAGGGGTAGAGCACGTCACGGCTCAGCAGGTGCTGCAGCACGCTCTGCACCACGGGCAGCACGCCGCCCTCCCCGCTGCCCTCCTCCAGCCCCAGCCCTTCCATGGCCTTTGCCAGATCCTCCTCTGATGCTGCCGAGCCCTGCGGGTGACAGCGGGGACATTGGGGACACGCGCACCTCTCAGTTGGTGTCCCTGAGCAGCGTGAAGACGTGGGGATGTTGGGGACACCAGGGATCAGGGGACAGCCCTCTGTATCCCCAGGTCCTGTGGGGATGTGGTGACATTGGTGACATCAGGGCTGGGGACAGCCGTCTGCCCATGTCCCCAGGCCCTGTGGGGACACAGTGACATCAGCAACACCAGGGACCAGGGCTGGGGACAGCCCTCATTCCATGTCACTGAGCCATGTGGGGACATGGGGGGTTGGTGACATCAGGAACTGGAGTTGGGGACAGCCATCCGCCCATGTCCCCAGGCTCTGTGGGGACACAGTGACATCAGTGACACCGTGGACCAGGGCTGGGGACACCCTTTGTTCCACCAGGCCATGCAGGGACGTGGTGACTGACACTGGTGACAGC